ATGTGCTAGTTTACCGTAATCTTCAAGTCTAGAATGACAATCCACCTGAAGAAGTTTACAAGTTACCATTTTAAATTACGTTTTCGAATTTTTATCCTAATCTGGGGACATTAAAAGAAACTACGCCAACACTACACTTACATATCCACGGAATTTTTCTCGTTTTTCTATCATTCTGAGTTCGGGAGGTCTCAAAACATGAGGATTTGCCAAATCTCGTGAATTAAATTCGACACGATTCCAATACATTTCCTTGTTACACATACGTAACGACTGGGAAATTATAAGTAGATGTTAGACTTATTTCTTATCCTACTTTATCTGCGGTAGTCCGGCTGTCGTGCGGGAAAAGTAGTGTTTACCCCGAGTTGGTGAGGTGAAATTTCATTCTATTTGCAGAAAGGAAAGAGGAGTAAGTTTTAACGGCAAAAGAAATATATAGTTTTAAAATATCGTTTTTGCTTATTATTCTCATCTGTCGGGATGAAATCGTTCAGACGTACGTTTTTGAAACGAGCAACGGTCGACACTGTAGAGGCTGCGATCAGTCGACGATCAGTGGTTTTGAATCCAAGATTGCGGATTGGCCAGCGAACATCAAACGTTCAGCGGATGTTCGATAGCGCACTGAGCGCTGATTGGTAGATCAGCGCTTACTTGAATCCGTATAAGAGGATTGAATTTAGGCGAGAGTTTCAGTTCGCCTTAGAGCTGTTAAGGGAACTTAAGTTTGTTTAGCTTCGCTTAAGATTGCCTAAAAGGTTATTTCGTCTCGCTGTGCTGTAACCAAAGTCTGAAGGAATACGTTGCAAGGAGCCCTTTACGACAGATCTGTTGTGGAATAAATTGACTTTTGGACTTTGATTTATTTGTATGTGAAATCCACGTATTAAATATCCTAAATATTGTAAATTGTATATTTTGTGAACTTCGTAAGTGTATGTAAATTTATTTGTTAATATAAACGTTTTGTGAACTGCGAACAAAGTGGTTTTTGAAGTTGACTTCATCTAAATTGACAACGTAAATAGATAAAACATATAAAATTATTTTTATTTATTCTATGCATTTACGTTTAAGTATAAACTTCGAATTAAAATGAATTTATTGCTAGAATATTCTTTTTAAGTAATTCTAAGGTGAATAAATAATGAAATTATCAATGAAATTCTGTTTATAAATAAATCATCAGTCATCAATGAGGAGAGATGGCGTGATCCAATTTCTGCTTTTAGAAAATTGTTAAGAATATCGATTTTTTCAATGATGATCTAGGGCAATAACTATAATACACTACTTGTACAGCCCATTAATTATTAAATGCTTTTTAGTAATCCACATTCTTTGAAAGTTTTAATATTTTCTGTCAGAAATGATAAAGACGATTTAATGCATTTTGCAATTAGGTTAGATTAGAAATTAAAATTTCCATTATGTCAATCAATATTTGCATATTTTCATCGCAGCTAATTAAAATATAAACGAAGGATTAAGCAGTAAGCATTCACCTGGCGTGGATAATAGACACGTAGAACATGGAGGAAACGAAAAAAAATTCTAATTTTATTCTGTTGAGGCTACCGGTCAGTATAAATCTATTAATTCTTCATGGAATATTCTCTTTTAAATACAATTCGTCCTTATCTGAACGTTTTACGCGTCGTTGGTGTATTTATACCCAAGCGCCAGGATTATTTATGGGTTAAAGCGCTTTTATTTGATACATACTTTATAACAAAAATTTCCATTTTGTTTTTGTTTCCCAATAAATTATCAGAGTTTTTTATAAATTCGCATATTGACGAATTCTGTGGAATTCCCGTTGTGTGGAATATCTACGAAACGCATTTACGCTTCGTATTATTCGGTGCACTTTTAATGTCCGTTTCATTTATTTATCTGCTTAATACAAATGCATTTCAGATAATAAAGGCGGTCAAAATCTTGGACAAAAACGTAAAATGCGCAAGGAAAATTCAACAAAAATTATTCCTTTATCAAGACGTAATTTTACGCTATTTTAGCTTTGTTCAACTATTTGTGTGTTTGTTATTTGGCACTTTGTCGTGTATTACAGGAACGCTTACGGATACTCAAAATTACTGTGGCAAGAAAGTTTCTGTACCTTTCATGTTTTATTTGGCGTTTTTATCAACGTCAGCGTAAATTGTTTTAGAGGGGGGATTCATTTTGATTCTTACTTACATCTCTATTCAATTGTTAGACACATTTATTATAGACATAAAGGAAAAAATACAAAGGGCCGAAGTCGATAGCAAGACATCGCTACTGGAACTGTCGTCGATTGTATATTTTATTAAAAGCATCGAGAAAATATGCAAAACTATTCAGGTGTTGATGATAACAGTTTTTATTACCATAATCAGCATAGTAATTATATATATGGTATTATACGTAACGATTACAATTCAATCTCTGTTGATATGCTTATCAATATTTTCGATGTGGACTGTTACAGTAATATATTTTCTTTACTTGACAAGAATTCCTTCGAACGTAAGTTACTTTAATTCACAGAAATTCTGTAAATTGTATGTCTCCTAACCATATGAATTGTTTAACAAGAATTATGTAATTAATGAATTTCAGATGAAACGGTTTTTCACTTGCATAATGGGCATTTATTTCCACGACCACGATAATATCAAAATTGTAAGTATACTTTTATAATATATAAATTAAGATTTTTCGTCTATTTGCATGAAAATATGTCTTATTTACTACATTTTAAACCAAAACTCACGTAACGACAGTACAATGAAATTGTTTTCTTTGTTTTCAGACTGAAGTGTTAATGTCCATATCGAGCGCCGAAGTGGGATTTAGAAGCAACAATTTCTTTTTCTTCGACAAGAAAACGGTTTTAAATGAAAGTTTAATATATCATATATTATATTATGTAAACGTATATGTTGTTTCTTTTATTATTATTATAATATATATATATATTGTAGCGTGTATACCAGGAATTTATAAAAAATCGTGTATTTTGTTTCAGTATATTGTCGAATTTATCACACAATTAATTGGATTTATTATAATAAGAAGTAAATCTGTGATAAATTAGTACGTATCCCACCGAATATTTCACTGATTTGTGACTTCTTATACAAAAAATTATGTTCGATGCTCATTGCTAATCTCAATCAATATTCGAGATTTTGAAATAAACGTGACGTTTATTTGACTTATTTGAATATGATGACGTGACCTAACGTCATCATATTCAGTGCTTGTATGGCGAGAGAGTTATTCAATACCCGTATGTCGACAGATTTGAGGCTGGAATAGATTTTCAGCGGCTTCGATCTACTGCAACGGAATTCAAAAGTTAAGTTGATTGTAAGAAAGTTTTTTGTTAATTATTTTGAATTCACCAAAATGCAAAGATGTATTTTATTGTGAAAGAAGAAACGGAAGTGTTCTCATGTGTTACGACAACGCAATTGTTTCGTTTGTTTAGAATCCATTTTAACCTCACACACGAAGAACAATGCTCAGTTATAGAATATGACTATTCGAGACAATTGAAAAACAAAGCTGAAAACTATGTCTTTTCATAGCACGAAGAAGTTGACAGAAATTGACAGCCATCTCGACTGGAACTGATGAATTGTTCGGCAGATGAGTTAACAAAATTGTTTAATATATATTAACACGATTCGTTTATAAGCATTAATTAAATAATATTAAACACAGGAGAATGGTATTTCTGACTCATAACTAGAAATCCCATTTGTAGGAATGTGGAGTACCTAACGAATGTCATCTCATTGTTCTTAATTGTTCACTAGCGGAAAAAGCTGCACATAAACTTTGCACCGATCTCAGCGAAACCTCTGTTCGAAACGAATGCGATTTTGTTGTCCTTGTTTGTTCACCAGCGAATAAAAAACTGTACATAAACTTTGCTCCATTTGAAAAGAGTGCAACCGATAGAAGTCTTTGTACCATTTGGTGGAAAACTTTGGTTCGTTTCAAACAGAACAGAGAAATGGTTTCCGCATCGGCTAAACCTGTATGCAAGTATGTCGATGTGTGATAGGTATTTCGAAATTGTAACAAAGTAAATCCCGAACTCTACTTATCGCACTTTGGTTCTCCGAAGGAAAATGTACAAGATCCACGTATCATTATTGTGATTTTTATGATACACAAGATGATAAATAGATAAAGATTTATACTACTTCAATTACTTTAAAAATCACTTTCTGTAATTGGATACAACAATTTTACTTTTTAATTGTTTATTAGAGTCTACAACTCGTGTACCACCTATGTAAGTTTTAACACAAGTAACAGATAAGAAAAAATACATAAATAATAGTAATGTAGCTTATGTATAATTAAGAAAATACATAGATAATAGTGAGATACAATTAGAACGAGCGAAGGTAGTACTGGGATATCAGTTATTAAAGATACTTTAATAGATATAAGAGCAGTTTTTACGTAGAGTACATGTAATTAGTGTAATCATGTATGTATAGGCGTTATTATTGTTAAAATATTAAGTGTTAATAAAACAATGAATATCTTGTCTGATTAGAAAACTGTATTTTAGCCCTAAATTATTATCTTCGAATAATTTACCCTGAAACAAATTAAGTAGAGACGTCTGAAAATATTGTCTACAGAAATTATAGAAATGAATGTATGCTTTACATACGCCGTGTACAGATACAAAGTTTATAGTAATGTTGTCTGGTTTAGATGTGTACATATATTTTTAATTTTAAATAGCTTTCAAACAAATTCCAATAATAAGATTTAAAATTAAATTATTTGACAATAAACTATATATATATATATAAATGCACNAATAATTTAATCTTTTGAACAAAATTAATTAAATCGAAATTACTTATATTAGTAATAAGTTCCAAAAAATTTTTCAACGGAATAATAGAAGTTCCAAACAAACTTTCCCGAATTTTCTCTAACTTAGAGCATTTTTAATTAATAATGTAATTTTCCAACAATTAGACGTATCCAATACTATATCAATTGTTGGCCGGCTTTCTATACTTTCAAACTCTGCAATTAAAACTTGAAGTATTAAATTCCACATCTATTATTTCGAAATCAAGCTTCATGTTTTAGGATGAGAGATTTATATAAATAGCGTGCCAGAACCACATTTATTCCCATTCGTTTTCTCCAACTTATCGCATTCTCTGGTAACTCGCGTAACTGATATGAAAAAAATGAAGATTCTGCTGTTGATCTGTCTGATTTACGTCACTGGTAAGTTTGTATGACGTAATTATTCGATTTAAATAAAATAATAAATCGAATCTTACATTCTTCGTTCATAGAATTTTCTTCGGTAACGAGTCAACAGATGTGTCCTGAATCAACACTGAGAAGAAATGGAGAGTGCTATAATGATTGTATTATACGTAGAAATCACTTGTGTGTAAGAATTCCACCTTGCATCTGTCCGAGGCTTGTTCCCAACGAAGAATTAGTGAAGGGAGCACGGTAAATGAATTCAAGAATTCCTCGCTTTATCAACTTTTTGTTCGCATTCGTCTTCCTATTGTTGTACTCTGCAGTCGAGTTCTATCTTTTCTCTACTTTAATTTAAATTTTAATTTAATGTTTCGTTTCTGTAATTTTTTAAAATATATTCCTTGCCCAAGGGCATGGCCAACTGCAACAGTTACTATTAAATAAATAAATGAAATTTCCTGTTTAAAGTTGATTCCTGTGGCAGACATCATCTCTACAATAATTTAATCTCCGCATTCAAATTTGAAACGAGACATTTAACCAAATATTTCGTATTAATCTTTTATATTGTATTTCAAACTCAACGATATGTTATTCGTCTGTTATATCAGAAATAATTCGGATGCTTTAGTACAACAGACTAGCATAAATACAGCGAGATAAAGTAACGTGTTGGCAGTCTTTCGTCTCATTTAAAATAATGTATCCGTTCCTATTGTTTTACTCGTAGTGTTTCCTCCGTAATCGGTTTAGAAATGAATTCTCCCGAAGAAGGGAAAAAGGATACTCCGCGTATCTGCTCCAGACCAAAGAATTTGACGAATGAAGTCGTTTGATTTATTTATTAAATTGAGTTCTTGATTGTTGTTTATTTAATTACACTCTGTGGGAACAGAACGTGTACAAAAATTTCCGAGTTCTTACTCACTGGGATTTGATCAGAATTCGCCCACACTGGATATGATAACAATTGAGATGGCTTTTACCGAATTCTGCCTATGGATTTACATAATACTATATTTTTCAGTACGACAAAGAAAAAAACACAGAGTTTTAAAATAATAAATGGAAATAACACAGTATAACGTCAGATAACGTAGTAACCGATGACAGAACGAAATCCTACACCCAAACATAAAAATTTCATGCGTTATTTTTTGAAACTCAAACATTTGTATTTAAAGAACACTCACCGATGACGTAAATCAAACATATGAAAATCAGAATATTCATTCTCTCCCTATCGCTTCTAAACTAGCCAAAGTAATTGAATAACTTCAACGAAAGTACCTTAAAAATAAATAAAGTTATCACACATTAGTTATTTGAATCTGACGTAATATTTATTTCTTAATTGGTAATTTAAAAATTCATCATTAGTACTGCGTGTTGGCGATATTTAGATCATTGCATGTACTCGATTTAGTGTATGATTTGTTTAAGAACTTGCAAAGAACTTGGAAGTTGCACATCTTCGTAGGTCCTATGTAACCTAATTTGTATAAAAATGTATAAAAGATAAAGCTGTTTATAGAATATATCAGTTCTCATATATTTTAAAAACTTTTTATATAATTAATCATTATAAAATACCAAAAAGCTTAATTTTAAGGACACAGATGAGTTTTATGAACAATTATGAATGCAAATATCAAGTGAATAATTCATTTTACTTCTTATTTATCACTACTAGAGATATGACACACGACTTACATCCCTTCGATCTTTAACCACCATAATTTAATAGAAGCAATTCCTTAATACACAAACACCAGTGAAGTATTGAGCTTCAAATGAATAAACAAAATAGTTCCCCTCACACACTCATACATACAGAAAAGCCTTAACTTTTATTTTTGCATTTCTCGATGTTTGAAGCTCCTCGTGTCGAATTAATAATAATAATGAACAAAACAAGACCAGTTATTCCAGAGGAAGATGTTCAATTTCGTGTATTCTCACAACCCTATTTATATTTTTTTCATAACCATTTCATTGAATGCTTTTTGAGATGGTTTAACTTTCACAGTCGAACGAAAACGTGAGCACATGTCAGCCCAGATAATTTAGTGAAATATTCGAAATAAATATCAAAAAATGTACAATTAACTCAGATCGGTAAAAGCAGAAAGTCCCACCTGCAATGTTACTATAGATGCAACATCCACACTTTTATACTCCAGTAATTTATTAAACCTTAAATTTATGAATTCAAAACTTGTTTTTCTAAATTATTCTAAACACAATTGTATACCAGGATACTCACATGTTTTAATTGTGTTAATTTTCAATTCTAATATTTACGTAATGCGAAAACAACCTCCAATTAATTGAATTACTTAGTTGTTCTAAATACACGAAATTATAAAAATTCTTGTTGTAAATTCGAAAAATTAACGTTGAAGAGTCATTTGAGAAATAATAGGATATACAGAAACGTTATCTTTCAATAATTTCATAATGAAAAAGACCCAATTTATTAAGTGTCATATCTCTGATTTAACTCTTGTTTGTAGTCAGTTTCTTATTTTCTTGCAAGTTGCCTAACATGGATAAAACGAAGATCCTGCTGTTAATCTGTTTGATTTAATTCAAAGGTAAGTTTGTATGACGTTAATGTTCGATTTATGTAAAATAATAGATCTAATCGAGTGAGAACAGCCTGAGAATGTGGGTTTTTGATACGACAAGTTATAAAAGTTTTTGAGGCACGGGATTAATTCATTTCTTGTATAAAATAGAAAATATAATTACGAGAGGTATTGTAGAACACTATTGTATTGTTAGTTATGTAAATACCATTAATTTAAATACCGGTGTCAGCATAGACACATGCTGGGATGTAGTAATAACACATAAAAGAACGGAAAAAGAGGGGATATATTTCTTGCACTCGATGAAAACGGGTAAGATCGGCTATATAACTATAAAGGTAAGAGTTTATCACACCGATGGCTAAATTTAATACATTTAAAATTTTTTTTCAATTTGGGTACAGTAGATCAATAAAGAATATTTAAAGTGTGTTAGATCGGTTAGTCGGTGTGATAAACTCATACCTTTATAGTTATATAGCCGATCTTATCCGTTTTCATCGGGTGCAACGATTAGTTCCTCTCTGACGAGGCTAATTAGAGAATTTTTGGATGGGTCTAAAAATATGATAGATTTGCCTCAAAAACGCAAACAATCGCACGAAAAATAGTACAGTATAAGCAGAGCTCTCCAGGATAACCATTAACTCTCTTCCACTTTCTCGCGAGGGAATATTTCCAAAAATCCTATATTAGTGTACATTCTCATTGCATACTGAAACTGTGTACCAAATTTCAACTTTCAACTCCTAACTGTTTAGGCTCTGCGCTTATTATTATTATTATTATCAACTAATCTCGATTTTATTATAAGATTAATAAGGACCTACTGCTCATAATCATTTCATTATCTGATCTCGGCTTTCATTTATCTAACTCTGCTCTCGAGATTACGGATGGACAGAGGATGGACGACAGTGGGAATTTATAAGTCTACAATTTTCGCTAATTGCAGCCCAATAAAAGATGCGGTGTGCGGTACAGGTAATTTGAATTTATGCTAATGTGTTTCTTAAGGCGCATCCAACCATTGGATAATAGCGGAATGTCGAGTAGTCCATCCATACTTTCGCTCTGGTTGCTCATCGGTAACCTGACCATTCGAACAGAGCCAATAAAATATTAATACATAAGAAAGGCAGCAAAAGGATATTAAAAATTATACGCCCATAAGCTTACTCTCAATTATTACAAAAAAAAACATCCGATGCTGCACAACCGCGGAAACAGGCTGGGTTTAGAAATTATTTCAGTACAATGGACCATATACAAACAGGGAAAATTACTAAGCCGAAAAGATGAATATCAAATACCATTGGCACTAGCCTTCACCGACGTCGAAAAGGCTTTCGATTGTATATTTCACAGAGCAATAATAGAGGCTTTAACCATACATACAAACTTTAGCCATCATATACAGAGAAGCAAACCCTATAGTGAAATTATATGATGAAACTCCAGAATGTCTCACTACCAAAGGTATTCGATAAGAAGAGTCAATATTTATTTATTTATTTATTTAGCATTCTGGTACAAAGACCCTGATGCGGGGATATAGAATAAAACAAAGTATACAAAACATTACAAAATAATATACACATTTCACATATTATATCCATCCATTGCAGTAACATAATTTGATATTAATAGAAAATTACACAATTCAAAAATTATTTTAAACCAAATTCAGCAAAAAGAAAACAAAACAAAAACTTAAACTACAAGAAGAGTCAATATTCTCCAAGCCCTTCACGGTAATCCTAGAAAATGTATTGTGTAAAATAGACTGGAAGAAAAAAGGCCTATCTACAGATAAAGAACACCTCAACCATCTAAGATTCGCTGACGATATCGTCTTGATAGCTGAAGATCCTGCAGAAAGAACTACAAGAAGTAAACAGTGATTTAAATGCAGATAGCAATGAAATTGGCCTTAAAATGAACTTGGCGATAATAAACATTATGTACAAAAACTAGTAGACAATAAAAAAAAATAATAAATAACTCCCCACTAAAAACGGNTATAATAAGTAATAGATGTGTAGATATATTTTTAATTTTAAAAAGCTTTAAAAAAATTCCAAAAATAAGATTTAAAATTAAATTATTTCACAATAAACTATATACTGTATATATAAATTACGTGTATATATATATATATATAGGCACGTAAACAAAGTATTCATAGAACTAGTACATTTTGAAGGAAAATAGTACATTTCTTGAAGAAGCTTTAGTACGTTTTGAAATTTCATTGCGGCAATACTGTAGAAAAATTCCAGTAATAAATTGCATAACTTTCTTGGAGATACTTAATAGAGTCACACGTTATAATATTTTATTAAAAGTACCTTTACAATGTTATGTATTATAAAATTGCAAAAAGCTCAATTTTGAGAATTGGGATGAGATTCATAAAAAATTGTAAATGCTAATAACGAGTAAAATCGTAATTAAGTCTGACTCAATCATCCCACATTCCTCGACTTATAACCACCGAAATATAATAGTATCGATCCCCGTAGTAATAAAATTTTTGCTCAACATTTCAAAAGTTGAAAAATATTCGAATATTTTTATTGCAGCTAATGAAAATAATAAGAAAGCAAGGGAATAAGTATTAACCTTGCGTAGATAATAGACACGTAGAACATCGACAGAACGAAGTAAAATTTTAATTTTATTCTTTTGAGGCTACCGATCAGTATAAATCTATTAATTCTTCATGGAATATTCTCTTTTGGATGCAATTCGTCCGTATCTGAACGTTTTACGCGTCGTTGGTGTATTTATACCCAAGCGCCAGGATTATTTATGGGTTAAAGCGCTTCTATTTAATACATACTTTATAACAATAATTTCATTTCATTTTTGTTTCCCGATCAATTATCAAAGATTTTTATAAATTTGCATACTGATGATTTTTGTGGCATTCCCGTTTTATGGAATATATACGGAACACATTTACGATTCGCAGTGTTCATTACACTTTTAATATCTCCGTTATTTCTTTACATGTAATGTATTTCAGCTTGGTCTAAATATTTGTGTGTTTATTTGGTGGCACTTTGTATGTATATTACAGGAACGTTTACAAATACTCTGCATTATTCTGGCAAAAAAGTTTCTGTACCTTTCATTTTTTATTCGGTGTTCTCACCAACTTCAGCACCATTTCTTATAGCGCGGGATTCATTTTGATTCTTACCTACATTTCTATTACTGCGTCGATTGTATATTTTTATTAAAAGAATCGATAAAATATTCGAAACTATTTATGCTCTGTTGACAACAGTTTTAGTTCCCGTAATCAGCATGGTAATTATATATATGGAAGCTTAATCGAATCTCTGTTGATAAGCTTTACAATATTTTGGATGGGCACTGTTATCGTAATATATTTTCTTTACTTGACAAGAATTCCTTCGAACGTAAGTTACTTTTATTTTA